TGAGAGAGAGGGGGGGGGGGGGGGGGGGAAGGGAGCTGGGGTTAGAAAATATATACGGAGGCCTTTCTCTAGGGATGAGGAAGTTGTGTGAGGTGTATGGTTAAGCTAGGAAAGGGAAGAGATTATGAGTAAAAATTCACCGTTTTTATGTACCTGATGATATTTTTGAAGTAAATAAATACCTTCTGCCTTTATTGTACTGCAACTACTACGAATACTATTGCTACGAGTATGTCTACGCGTATAATACAATAATCGCTACACCCAAAACTTTACAATAGTCCCCTAATTCCACGTCGAAGTAACAGGTAGCGCATCAGTACAATAGCACGCTAGCATCGATAGTGCCTTTGAAGACGTAGTAGGAGAGTTGCGAGTTACTAAGTTAGTAAGCAATATATTTGGGGAAGGGAGGAGAAGTATATTGATTTATTTTGTTATCATGTATATTACCCACGCTTCAAGAACTTTCATAGAAATATAATCTCTTTTTTGGTAGATAATAATTGTGTATTGAAATGGAAAGGGACGGATAAAGTGGTTGCAGGTTATTGTTTTATACAAGAGATACTCGTTGCTATTTAATAGACGTGCACCGATGATTGTATAGTCTTGGGAGAATGGAAAAAGACATTGTTAGAAGATGAGTTTAAGGATCAAAGATTCATCATTTAATTCTTCAAGAAATCACACTCTTCTTCCATCAAGAAGAGAGAACAAACCTGCTATCCAGGAACAACAACCTACCCATCCCCATTTTCATCCCCCCATTCCACAAAAAAGAAAGCAACAAAAACCCAAGATCAACACTCTCAAAATCTCTCTACCAACTCAACAGCCCTCACCTCACCACCAACCATACCTCAAAAACATCTCACAAGAATTTCACAAAGATAGCTACACCCACGAGCGCCTACCGCGCCTTAAGTTTGACAAACAAAGAGAGTGGGTCGAGAGTGGTTCCACGACATAGATCCAGTATCGAAGCACCGCATCTCATCCTATCCTATCCTGTACACTGTAACACAAACACAAACACAACCCCGAAGGCGGACATGAAGAGTTTGTTCTAGAAGTGTACCGCGTAAGTGCCGAGTTGTTCATCGGAATAAGCAATATTAGTATAGATGAAGCATGGAGATATCAGGAAAAGAAGAACAGGGTCATGTGATACTGTAGCAAACAGCACAACATTAGAGTCGATGCGGTGAAGAAGAGGATCTTATACATAATACCAATCTACAACCTGGTATCAAAATTAAGAAATTCATAATATTATAGTAAGCAGACAGAGAAAATCCTTACCTGGGTTTAGGGTGTTGGTGTTGAGATGATGGACACGGACAAGTATGACGCATCATGCGGTGAGAGTTGGATGCACTTACTTACATTACCATGGCTCGCTAGCGAGGTTAAGGGGGGGTGAGTGAGTGGGTGGGTGAGAAGGGGAGTATCCATGCTATTTACTGAAGCGAGGCTCAGCTCACGGATGGCTGCGCGTATGTACGACATCGTGAACTAAAACTTACGGCGTACGATTTAGAGCGGTGTTATGGAGGATGGAGGCGGTATGATGGTATTACAGGTCATTGATGTGAATTATGGAGAGGCGCTCGAATCTGGGGAGCGTTTGGGAAGCTTGGTTGTGATGGAGTGTTGTGATGTTAACCAGATCGTATTATCCTAGTTGTTTTGCTCGGCATCGTGTCTTATCTTGCCATTTCCTTTCTTCCTCACATACCATGCCATGGGTGTGTACCTGTAAAGCTCGTGCTCGCTGCTCAAACCCATTCGTCCATCTTAAGCAACAAAGGGGGGGAATTGGGGAACAAATTGAGGGGGAGGGGGAGGGGGAAAAGATGGCACCGTATCTCCACCGCTTTGAAGAACAACAACTTTTTTTTCCCTTTCATGCGCTGATATTCCCCCCCAGACCATTATTTTCCCCGGTTTCTTGGATATCCGTGAACCCACTTTGGTTTTGGTGGTGGTCAACCTTGCAGTTTTGGGGTCCCCATTTGGGCTTGGGGGTGGCAGTGGATTTTTCAGGGGTCTTGCAAGGGAATGAATGGGAGGCCCAGGGAGGGGAGGTGAAACTGGAACTTGAGACGTAAAATTTTTGCAGTTTTTTATTTCGGGTTGAGATTGAGTGGCTGAAAATGCGTGTTAAATCTTCATAAGAATAAATAGTTAACTGAGCGTTAGTGGGAACGCGGAGAATTACTTCACGTCATGATCTTGTTATGATCGGTGTCGATGGTCAGAGCAGAATATTGTGTATCGGTAGAGTTACATGCAGATGAGAAAAGATGATGTAGAGACCACTCCTTCAGGAAATTCGATGTTCGGTCAACAACCAACCTCGGCGGGTCAGCGATTATGCAGGCAGATAAATCAGTTGAAGTCATCGAATGTCGAAGTCCCATCTAAATATGCGGGGATGAGACCCGTTTCTGCCCGCACATCAAGGGCGGTGAGGAGGGAAAATCAATGGCTGACATTGGTTACATTTCTGTTGCAGTATGCACATGCAGGCCAGCATCCATTGTTGCTGACCCTCAATTTCTTTTTTAGGATGTCAGGCTGCGAGAGGTTATACGACCTTTGTTGTATATTTTGAAAAAGAAGACTTCGGGACGAAGACCGATATAATCTTGTTGATTCGACAAGTTGTGGGAAAATTTTGCCGAGTCAGAATCTAGAGAATGATAGCAAACGTTATTAGATAGGGCGATTGTTCTGTACCCTAACTGTCGCAATCAACGCATGGAGTTTCCCGCATAACGGCCATGTACACATGAATCATGGTACACGTACCTCTGATGAACTGCGCCCAACACATACCAAGTAGGAGGCACAACTTTTGAGGCTCTTATGGTAACGGACAACAACACAAGCCAAGTATCAATCGTTTATACTGTACGAAGTAACTAAATGAGGCAGGAGGTTCCCTATGATGAAAAAAAGTTGGGGCATATGGCGGTGAAGCAGGAATTTTGTTCTTTTCTTTATGACAGCTGATGGGTTGGAAAGGACGGCAAAAAAAAAAAAAAGAAGAAAAAAGGCTAGGATAAGGGCAAGGGCAAAGGTTTAGGGCTTCTCTGTGGTCGAGCGAGGCTGCAGACTTGACCTTGGAAAGTTCAAAGTTTATGCAGGCTACAAGTCAACACTAACCCTAAAGCGATTATGTGGAGATGGTGGACTTTTCCGAGAAAATGGATACAATTGCTCCACACCAAGGAAAAATATTTGAGATTCCACTTCCTCGTGCGGTTCGTGGAGAAGGAGATTTGGTAAAGGATATGCTTTTTACTCCACCAATTGACTGGCTTGTATTTGCGCGGTTGCCGCAACAACTTGGGCTTGTAAACGGACTTGTTCTCAGTCATTTGTACTGAGTAGTAGGACGAGGTTTCTTGACGATTGAAGCATATCATCGAGATATATACTTCTATGGGGTCAGAACAAGCAGAATGCAAGGCCACTTCACCTCCCCACCAGTTTGTTTTCTTTTCCCACAGCCGAAAAGCCCCACCAGCTGTAGGAAACAAAGCAAGATGTACACGGCCGACGGCGATATACTACGTACTCGAGTACCGTACGAGTAATTAGATAGCGTAGGACATGGGGTTGAATTCTTGAAGACGACTTCTTAAATTGAGACCGTGCAATTGACTTCTCGATGACAGTCGGCCCCTGGCCCCCTGGGTTTGGATGGGGCCGATAACTTCTTTTCCGGCTTCTTGCAGCGAGAGTCCCTGTTGGGTCTCCGAGCCACTCAATTCATTGAGTTTTAACGAGTCACGACAACAACGTTGCCGAACCTTGAACGCAGGACGGAACGCCATCTTTGCTGCGTAGATTTACGTTGATCCTCGTTCTTCTGGAAGAACCAAGTCGATAGACGTCGGTATCGTCGAGGTCGATGCCATCGTCGCGAGCCGGAGCCATACGATGGCCCATGAAGTTTACAGGTACTCGTCAAAAAAAGCCGTCTCACGTGACGCTCGTTCCAGTAAAGTAGAAGATTTTCCAGGTAAATTTCCATCTCAGGCGGCCGGCCAGATTCGTGACGACACGACGTGGTGGGGCGGTGGTAGTGCGCAGGGCACTCGCACGCCCATGCCATGAACTGTGAACACCCATGGCATGGCATGGAGTGGGAGTGGGTGTGGTGTTTCAATGTCCCTCATCGGGCCCCCTGTCCTCCGCTCTCTCGTCTACCGGTTGTCTAAAGTTCCCCCGCCACAACAAGAATTCAGGAGACCGCGAGCTTTATTCGGGTCTGACTTCCATAGCTTCTACTTCTACTTCGTACCAGTAATTTAAACCTCCCAGAGTTCGAAGCGGGAAACGGAAGCCAAATTCAGAGTTGTTCCCCGTACCGGTACCGAGTAATTCTATAGTAAATTTAGGTACATACTACCTACTAGCTACTGCACTCACTGCACTTACGGTTCTCTTTCCGCGCGACTCGCTTCCTTTTCTGCAGCAGTTCCAACTTCGTCTTCTAGCTGCCGCCGGTCTCTCTACTCTCCACCTCCTCGCTCCCCCTTTTACCTGAGTACGTACATCACCTCATATTACCATCACCATCAGCCCAGCCCAAGCTCAAGCTCAAGCTGTCACCAACCTCTTTCTGTCAGACTCCTACACCACCATCATCACCCCTCACCCAATTCTGTCGTCATAATTGTGTTGAACTCCCTTCACAATCCTCTGCACTCTTTGCATCCATTCCTGCGATAATCACCACCAAATTACCCGGCGTTTCCGCTCTACTCTCGTCCTAAAAATAACGGACTCTTCTCTCGTGCCACTCTGCTGCTCTGCACCCCCTTACCGCCCGCCGGCGCCAGCACGCACGCAGCAACGCAGTTAGACTTATTCTCGGGAGTGGACACCACGATTGCTGTGGCACTGACCCGCCTCTCCACTGAGTCCACCCATTCCGAAGCGCTCCCTGCCAATCGTAAGCCCGCAGGCAGACCTTAGCTCTTCAGATCAACGTGCAGGAACAACAACCGGGCCCCCTTTCCAGCTTCTACCCTGTCTCGCCTGCCTGTCGCAAAGCACATACCTGCCCTGCACCTGCCTGCACCTGCACCCTTTACCACTCACTCTCCTCCCTGGGCGACAAACGGCATTTTCACTACTCACTCGCTCACTTACTCCCAACTACTCACTCTACTTTCTCCTGTCGCAAACATTCCAACAACAACAACAACATCACCACCATCACCATCATATCGACATCTCACTCAATAGCAAATATGTCTTCCGAAACGAAGCCCACCATGCCGTATAATACTCGAAGGAAATCGTTGTCATTGCCTTCGCTCGGTATCCATCTCCCCGTTACGCATGCTGCTAGAGCCGCCGCACGACTTTCACCGCCTACAGCCGGCCCAAATTCTGAACATCCTCCGTCCAAAAAATTAAAGCGGTCGCATGAGGACTCAATGCCCATGTCACCTCCTCCAAAACGAACTTCAATTAAATACGAAAACACCCCACCGCCGTCCCCCGAAGCTGAATCGCATGAGCTCGATGCCGATACCAAGCCAAGAGAGATCAGTCTGGAAGGAATAAACGACGAGATTGTAGAGAACGTGATTGTTTTGTTGCAGAAAACCGGAAATAGACCACACTTGGTAAAGGAATTGGCTGCGATACTTTCGCAAAAGGTCAGAATAGTAGAGCAGTAAGTTTCCAATTTCCTCTTGTTGATTTCTGCACCAAGCTTACGGAATGCGCAGATCTGCGAACCCATCAGCAATCATCTCTTCACGACTTGCGTCGTATCTGAAGCGATCATGGACGGCGTCAGCACCTTGTCCTGTGGCGAAAGAATTGGAAACAGTTCATCCACGAAGAACGTACTTTTACTTGACGACATATCCACATCAACCAATTCCTGATCCCTCAAATGTACAATTTCCACAGAGATCGTTTATCACGCCTTCACTATCGAGTGCTGCCTCGAGAAGCGATGAAAACGACGCCGAGCGAAGGCGAGAACTATCGCCATCTCCAGAAGTGGACCTTTCCTCGACCGAGTTCGATGACGATGATATTATTTCGCCACCTACACCCACGGGTTCTTTCTCTGGCCGACCCGATGTCGCGATTCGAAATAATCGCGCCTCATCGCCGCCACTTGAGAAAGATGAGAAGGAGTTTACCCAGACCGCTCGAGGAATGCAGAAAAGGAAATTCAGTGGGGATGAAAATATGAGTGGCGTGCCATCAGACATGGCAGATCACCCAATGAAGAGCTCAGAAACGGATGTGCTATTTGGAATGCATCCTTCGTTTCCAGGAATGGGGAAAAGTTTCCACGCTGCAGAATTCAGCAGCCCCGCCATGAAACCTCATCTGTCAATCAATGTCCTGAAGCGGGGCTTCGAGGAGACGAGTGATACATGGGCCCGTCTTGAGGGTGCCATGGAGTGGGATATGAGAAGTCCCGAACACATCGAGTTGGACGAGTTGGAAGGGATGCTTGACGATTTTTAAACAACTTCCATTGCGATATTATGAAGATTTCCATCTCCACTTCATCTTTACGGAATCGCTTCTCAATCTTGCAGCCACTTGACTGGTTGGCTTATCGAATTCGCCACCTTTCTCCTGTGCATCTTTTTCTGTTTTGCCTGCCATGATGATTATCGAAGATTTTATGTACGATATAGAGGAAAGGATCAAACGGAAAAAAGACAGAGAGACCAAAAGTTATGGGCGGATTGGCATTTAGATGAGAGGGGCGGTTTTGCTTATTTTGTGCACCATCGCGGTTTGTTGGCCTGCTGGCGTTTCTTGGGATGATGAGCGATTTATGTCCTGTAGATATATTATAAGGAAGTGGGAACGGAGGGTTCGCGTTGCTTTTAGCATTGTTTCACGCGTTGGAATTGGACGCTTTACTTGAGCGTTTGGAGTAGGAAGTGGGGGTGAGCGAGGGGTTTATAGGAAAGCAACAACGAGAAGTCAGTTTCGCAGTCTCCATAAACCTCCACTTTGGGTTCAGTTGAACCATTGAATCCTCTTGACTCTGTGAAATGCTCAGGTAAGGCGGCCGCGAGATCAGAGAAGGCAGAAATGTATGAGAGATGAGAGGTGTGAGTCGTTCATGTTTAGGTTTCGTGAAAACTGGGCGAGAGAATTCGACTAGGAGCACCAGGGAGCGGCTGGTGGCGGGACTGCGCTGGATATGGTAGCCTTGTCTTGGCGCCAAAAGTTCGCGGTCGCAGCCTTGCACTCCACTCTTGTCAGCCTTACAATTAACTGTTTGCACTCCACACGCAGCCTCGATCTGCACAAACAAGATGAAGTGGCAGCCTCACCTGGGCAGCCTGCGAAGATCCATTGACTGCAGTAAGCCCTTCCTCGACAAACACTTTTCCAAAACACACCAATTCATCTCGATATTTCCGAATTGCTGACAAGTGTCCATTTCGAAAGAAAGACATAATCCAGAGCTTCCTTGTATTGGCCAGAGGCACTGCGGCGTGCAGCAGTATGAGGCCATCGCGCCTCAGAATTATCTGCAATGGCCCTGGGCTTGAATTGACAAGAATGTGGTGTTCGCGGAAAGGCCTCATTAAACATGGCATGTACATCAGATCATTAAGTGGAACCAAGGCCACGAATATCGTGAGACCCAGCCAGAAGGTAACAAAGGCACGTCCACCCCCACAATACAGGTACTCATTGCAACCCCGCAAATTATTTGGAAATTCTGCTGATAACCATCCTCAGATCAGCACCTAACAACCAACACGAACGCTCCGAGCCACCGAACCCCCAAAATAGAGAAACGCTTCTTAAATTCCACCGCTGGATATCTATCGCACTGGGCGGATACATTGCCTATTGCTTTGCGTTTCCGGCTGGTCAACTGGCATTCAAATTTGCCACAGCCACCCCTTCGTCCGCAGAACCATCCGCGCAAAGCGATGTCTCGAGCCGATACGATGATATCGCAGAGAGATTCGACGATGAGGTGGCGTGGTCTGAGACCCTGATGGGTCTGACATCTCTCCGGAAGAAGCTCGCGAAGAAGGCAAGAGGGGACGTGTTGGAAGTTAGTATAGGCACGGGTCGCAATCTAGAATTCTACGAGTTTGATTTCAGGAAGAAGAACCTATGGTCCGCGCCCGATAATGCTTTTACGCTGGGTTATGCTTTTATTAGAAAGCATATTATGGGGGCTAGGGAAAGTGAAGAGCCTAAAGAAGAGGTACCGATGGTTACGAGCTTCACGGCGGTGGATAAAAGTTGTGAGATGTTGGAGATTGCGCATCAGAAGTTTGGAAAGTTGTTTCCGGGGGTCGTTGGGGTAAGGTGGATTATTGGGGATGCGCAGGAGCCGGGAAAGATACCGCCTCCGCCAAAGAATTCGAATGAGTGGAGTGGAAATAAAGAGGGGAAGAAGTATGATACGATTTTACAGACCATGGGGCTATGCTCGGTTGAGAATCCTGTGGCTCTACTGAAAAGACTTGGTGAGCTTGTGAGAGAGGAGGAAGGTAGAATTTTACTGTTGGAACATGGGAGATCTAGGTGGGGTTGGCTTAATGCTATCGTGGATGCATTGGCTGAGGGACATGCGAAAGCATACGGGTGTTGGTGGAATCGAGATGTGGGGAAAATTGTTGAGGAGAGTGGGTTAGATGTCGTGGAGTTCAAGACTCATTGGCAGGATGGGCATACTGTAGCTTGGATTGAGTTGAAGAAACCCAAAACCAAGGAGGTTAAAATCTCTGAAGCCGTCAAGCCTCAATCGAAAAAGGGCTGGTGGTAAACAGAGCTTTATGCTTCATTAGCTCCAGCCTTGCTGGACCGTTGACGGTCCTCTATATTTGGTCAGCCACTGGCACCATGAGACATGGTCTTGTTCTCACACCCTGAGCTTGTGTCATAGCACCGCAGGTAAGACTCATTATTGTATATTTGTACTATCATAGATCCATCTACTCAACTTTAGATTACGAAGTTACGAAAAGCCTTAAATTGACATCAACACATAGCTTGAAGCATACAAGAATTCCTTTAGTGTTCTGCGAGAAACGAACACCATGTCCGCAAGACTCTAGTAAGTCGCATAGGAGACCTTTGTCACAATTCTTGATGTTCAACAATGGTCAATCTATTGTTTCGCTGTTGGTCTTTCTAAAATTTAGATTGCCCATCTCTTCTTTCATCCTTCTCGTTCGAAGACCTTCGCTAGTCTTTTCTCTTTGTGTTCTATGTATCTTCTTTCTTCCTGCGTCAACAACAGTCTGAAAGACACTGCTCTGAACAATAGTATTGACCACATATATGGTTTCAAAAATCATTTCCTTCCTATCTAATTGTACGCATATCCCCAGCTTGAAATCCTCGCTTATTATTCCCCACAAAACATACTCAAACAAACAACCAAAAAAACAACAACATACAACATGAGTTACGACGACATCTGCAACCGCACCGACTGGTCCATGGACGACTCCGAATTCGCCGAGTTCGTCGAAGGAGGCTACTTCCTCTGGGACAACACCCTCCGCGACATCATCGCAGCCCTCGAACCAAGCCCCGGCTCCCCTGACAGACAAGCAATGGACAGCACCTTCCTCAACCACTTCGAAATTCTCCTCACAGCCGCATCTGCCGAAGCTGCTGTCGAATTCGCGCAGTCCTCTCCCATGGGTAAGTGCCAGGATGTGAACGTGGACTGGATCATGCCCTACTGCTTCGATGGCGCGCACTGGGTGACCGTCATCATCAGTCGGCAAGAGCACTACTGGGGCGTCTATGACTCCCTACCTGGATGCGAGTATGCGGGGCTATTCGCGGCGGTGGAGTTCCTAGTAAAAAGTCTTCACGTGGAGCGTGAGCCGGAGAAGGAATGGGAGTTTGATCTCCTTCCCACCATTCAGCAGGATGATGGGTGGAGTTGTGGGATCCATACTGTGGAGCACGTTTTGCATTTTCTGCGCGATGGGGGCTCGCATTTGGGGAGTGTGGATGTGAAGGCTAGGAGACAGGAGTATTACGATGCGTTTCTGGAGCTGGAACATCCACAGGCTATGGAGTACTCTCCTGAGGATGCGGAGGAGGTTCCTTGTGTTCTGGTCTCTGATCAGCGCCAGGAACTTGATGCTTCATCTCCTGTCCTCCGTTCCTCTCCCGTTCCTGTGACTTTTGGTGAAATTTTCCCTGGCAATCCTCCCTACTCGCCAACTGAAGACGGGGAAAGTGAAAAGGTCCCTAGCATCGCAATATCTCCCCCTTGCAAAGAACCCGCTACCCCATCTCCTCTCCTCCCCGACCCTGCACTCGGCGACTTCGATCCCCCCACGATGACCTACCTCACCCACTCCTCCACATTCCCCGAATCCCTCCCTCTCAGAAAACTTCCTCCCCCGTCCTTGGACATCAAACCCCTTCAGCTTCCGCTTCAGAAACGATATCGAACGCTTCCTTATCCCGCGACCGGCGGCTCCTACCCCTTTCCTTGACCTCTTTGTTGAGTATGAAGAGAGGTATGAAGATGGTGTGTCGTGTCCTGGGATGTCGGTGGATTTCCGTGTTGCTGCGCGGGAATCTGTTGCAGGGACACGGAAATCTGTTGGGGAAGAAGGGGATGAGGGGGAGAAAGATGGGGATGAGGGGGTGGTAGGGCCAGGGCTGCGGCGATTGGATGATTCTCAAGAAGAAGAGGTATGTCAGGATCTTGAACAGCCACGACCTGACGCGAGACGGTGGTTGAAGCCTCCTTTTTGGCCTTTTTGGAGGAGGTGAGTTTTTCTGACTCTTGCTTGTTTTATCTTCTTTTGGCTTTATGTTGACGATGAGTATTTAGGGAGGTGAGTTGTCTGGCTTGCCTTGTTATCTCGGTATCTTTACTTCTTTGTGCTTGATGCACTGATTGAAATTGACTTCTTTATTTTTTTTATTTTGTGTGGAATTTTGGTTTAGGATTGTGGCTTGTGTGAGTAGTTTCTTGTTTTGTATTTTGTGACTTGGACCTTGGTGGATTTGTAGGTTGTGTGGTTTCTTTTTGTTTGCGCATTTATATTGTATTTGATACGGGGGGTGGTATTTCTTATTTCTGATGTGGTAAAGTAGATGAGGATCACGCGATGAAGATTTAAGTTGCCCAAGATCGATGTCATTCACCGCTCCGTTCTCCTAGTCCTTGTCCGTTGGTAGTAATGTAATCAAGAATAAGATGACACCCACCAGTGCCAGTACGAAAGCCTCTACGAGGGCGTATGATAGCCATGCATGTCTTATCCTATATATATATACCATACTACCTCTCTTTTGTTTAGCGCATAGATAACCAGATTACCGCTGAGTTTTATTAGTATCAAGAGCCGGTACATGTAGCGCGCTAGGAGCAAGTTCCGTCAAATGATCATGAAGAGACTGTAAAGTTGAGAGGCACCATGAAGGAACTTGATGGTAGATTTCCTTGTCGATAGACTGATTTTATTGGAGTGAGAATATCTACTCTTTGGCGATGTAGAAGATCCATGAGAGTAAAGTGGTAGCGAAGAATTTATTATAAGAGGCGTAGCGAGATTTCAGATTTTTTATACTGAGTTTCTTGATACTTACCATGCCTTTCTATTTGTCTAATTCATTCATGATAAGCATTTACTAACAAACTCTCAAGAAGAACATCTCAGCTACTTCAACAGGCAAGCTACTTTGCGATTTCATAGCGTAAAAGCTGATTCAGCAAGAGCTATTATTATTATTATTATTATTATTATTCCTTTTAACGTGCTGTGTGAGTCTGAGACTATAGTAGCACGGCTGGGGTTTCCCTCCAACAGATGAGTAAAGCTGTACTAAATACATGTTTGAGAAGGGGGTTATGGTCATTACAGTTCTTGGGTTGTTGGAAGCAGCTAGGCTTCTGGTTATGACAAAAGAAAAGTTGTTATGTTGTAGTACGCCCACTCGTTTCACGCCCTGTACGCTACACTTCCTCGTTCTCGTCTTCCTCGTTCTCGTCTTCCTCGTTCTCGTCTTCCTCGTCCTCGTCTTCCTCGTCCTCATCTTCGTTCTCATCCTCAGTTGCGCGTCGTGTGTGCCATATTCTAGTGGCGATTTTGGTGGTTCGAATAAAGTCAAGTGTGGCCTCGACTCCTTTGGCGGTGTGAAGGAGGGATTTCATGGTGAACTCTCGAATATGATGCTTGAGGAGGTTGCGCTTTAGTACTTTCCTAGCATCCCCAGTTTCTGGACAGCTAAGAAGGAGGTGAGTGGGAGTCTCTTGTCTTCCACATCTACAGCGGTTGTTGGTAGTGTGGCCGAGCTTGTGTAGGTATGATTTGAAGTATCCATGGCCTAGCTTAAGCTGATAAAAGGCGCTGGCTATCTCTCTTTTTGTTCCTTGGGGGACGCAAGGTTTCGACAGAATCTTCCATGGGAATTCCCTTCGATACGAGTGTTGGTTAGTTGATGGTTCTGTGTGCCGGGGGGGTGTAGTAAGCTTTTGACGCCATTCTTTGTTCTGGGTCTGCCTGATCTTGACTCCTAGCATAGCAAAGCTAGTGAGTTGAGTGGATGGTTGGATTGTGGTGGCGGCTTTTGCAAGCTTGTCTGCTTTCTCATTTCCTGGAATGTCGGTGTGACCTGGTACCCAGTGAATTGTGGTAGTAGCTCCCTTGCTAACTGCCTTCCGGGCAGCTGTGATAGCTCTGATTTGGCACTCTTGCCCTGGGTTATCTGATGTGGTTTTTAGCCTCCGTAAACCTGCCTGGTTGTCGGAGTAGATGTGGAAATGGATCCCTGGTCTAGCGTGCTTGGCAGCGTATTCAACTGCTAGCGTGGCCCCTTCAACTTCACCGTTGTAGACGAGCTTGTTTGGTCCAATGTTGACTTTCTTTTCGTAGTGGATTCTGTTTGATTGAGGTGAGATTACAGACAAACCTACCCCAATTCCTTGGCTATTTTCTGTTGTTGTAGAGGATGCATCTGTGTAGATGAAAATGCTGTTATCTGAGTTGTTTTGGAGTAGACGAAGGTGAAGTTTAGTTTCCTCTTCTTTTGAAAGTTTGCTAATGTGAACCTTGTAAGGAGTTTCTCTTTCCCATGGAGGGAAGTGGAAGTGGTGTATTTGCTCAAGGTCTTCAAGGTTGTATAAGTTGCTAATAGAGCGGTGGATTCGCTGTAGTTGAGGAGTTGCCGGCTTCTTTTTCCTTGGAGTTGCTTGAGTATTGAGGAGCTTGTCGATAGCGTGGTTGACTGGGTGTGATGGTGAGAGTTTGAGTAGACGGAAAGCATACATCCTCAAGGAGGAGGAGAGGCGAACTTCAGGAGGTGGGAGGGCGCTTTCTACTTCCATTGGGAGGATAGGAGTGGTTTTGAAAACCCCTAATATCTTTCTAATTGCAAGGTTTTGGAGTTTTTGAAGTAGAGTAGTGAATTGTGCTTGGCCTCGCCACCAGATGGTTGACCCATAGTCTGCGATACTTGTAACGCATGCTGTGTACAGCTGCCGGAGGGCAAAGGGTGTAAGTCCTTTGGAGTTGTTTGCTAGCCTTGACATCCTGAAAAATGCGCCTCTAGCTTTTGCTACCTTGGTAGCGACGTGGTGCTTAAAAGATAGTGCTGGGTCAAAGTAGATGCCTAACCACTTAATGCATTGTTTTGGGTGAACGGTTTGGTGGTTGGGGAGGTTGAGTGTGAATTCTTCTGTGTCCTTTGAATTGGTCCAGTGTATGAGTTCTGTTTTATCGAGGTCGAAGGCAATGCTGTTCTCATTTGCTAGCCTGTAGAGTTTCGTGGCTTCTGCTTTTAGTCTTTTAATGTTGTTTTTGAGGTGGCGGGAGGCTGTTGTAAGGGAAATATCGTCGACGTAGGAGATCCATGTAATTGTAGTAGACTTGAAAAGGTCGCGAATGTAGATGAGAAACAGGATTGGAGATACAGGGCTGCCTTGTGGTACCCCAGAGTTGTTAGGTGAGAACTCCTGGATTTGACCGTCAAAAGCGAGTCGTAGCCTACGTTGGTTGAGGAATGTTGATACCCATGCTATTAGGTTGGTGGGGAGTTGTAGTTCTTGGAGAATCCTGTAGAGTCGTTGCTTGGCTACGTGATCGTAGGCTGCCTTGACATCGATAAACAGGGTGGAGGCTTTCCATCCGTACTTCTTGTGATTCTCAACTTCGTTTGTGAGTAGAAGAGCAGCGTCGATGGCAGACTTTTTGAGTCTTTCCCCCATTTGTGAGGAGTGGAGGAGGTCTGTGGTTCTGCGAGGTGGCTGAGGCGTTGTGCTATAATTCTCTCAGCGACTTTGCCTAGGCAATTCAGGAGAGTGATTATTCGGTAGGATTTAGGGTGGGAGTAGTCGTCTTTGTTGGCTTTTGGTAGAATTGCTCCAGTTGCTTCTTTCCAGCACTTGGGGTGGTACCCTGTGTTAATCATCCTAGCATAGACACAGAAGAAGGTTTCAGGGATAGCTTCGTAGGCTTTAGTAATGATATCTTGTGTGGTTCCATCTGGCCCTGGCGATTTTGATAGGATCTTTGAAGAGCATGCGTACTCTGATTCAGTTCTTGTGAGTTCAGGCCATTCCCACTTATTGCATGGCGTGTAGTTGGTCCATGTTGCGCTAGTAGCCGTGGGTGGTGGGGGGA